TTCTCATTGCCACTGATACTGATAGTTCCAGTATCTTCATCTTCGTACTTTCGATATTTGATAAAGATTTTTCGAATAAAGTTGAACCCAAAACCGACAATTGGCATATGATGGAGCAGCATAATTATAAGCCTTCGAACGTGTTTAGTGAAATAAACGAAAGAAGTAATGAATTTGAACGAAGAAGAATTTTAAGCGCTACATGATTAACGTCGGTGTATCATCAATCATAATAATAAAAAATATTAATTGGTATTTTGTTTAGGGGAAGGTCAAAACCATCAAATTTAACTAAGTTGTTGATTAAAATTTTTGCAAAAACCGAATGATTAAAATTTATGGCCACTTACGTGCTCTGAAGATAGCTAAATCGACTGAGAAATCTGCTTATCGAGAGAACGAGTATCTAATACCATAAGACGCCGAGCGAAATCACACAAACTTTACACAGCGATGCTAAAGCGCACACAACACATTTTGTTCAACGCCGAGTTTTTTTCTAAAAAAAAGCACTTCTTGCGTAGTTCTTTCTGCTTAGCTCGATGAATAGTGCGGGGAATGAACGTTGCACGCGTTACGACTTGCATATAACCATAATGTAGACTAACGCAAACCATTAACATCGAGAGTAAAGCTGAATATCCATAGCACCCGCATTTAGAAGATCCGCTGTGTGCGCATCTTATTGTGAATTCTTTCAAACTATGACTTAAGAGTAATATCAATAACCATTAGTGCAATAGCCCCGAAAACTGTATGCATCATGCTAAGTCGATATCGCAGATATCGCATTGTCTCCGGAAGGGAGAAGTCGTCCAAGAAACGTTAAATTTTCAATTGTACGATAATATCCGCCTCAATATACTTTAATATATTAGTTATTCTTGCCGCTAGTAAATTATTAAAATTAGAGAAGTAATGGTGCACCGAGATAATGGATTACTTTGAAAAAATATTCCTTTCCATCATTTTTTTTTTAAATTCAACGGAAACTCTATTAAACTATCAATAGCATGCATGCCAAACTTCAACAGTGCTTCCAAAAAAAAAAAAAAGCTGATAAACACACGCAACACAGACAAATTTCCTCTTCGAAACATTAATCAAACTTGATAGGTTATACATGTTATGCATGTAATCCACAGATTCATTACATTGCTGCCATATTTTAAGTAAATATAGACTTTTACATGACTTTTTTTTTCAAATTCAAACTTACTTTAAATTATGCTCTAAAATACAATATATAGGATTATTTATTTTCCAGCTGATTTTGGCTGCCCTGTTTCAGTAACATATGTCAAACAGGAAGAAGACATTCGCGTATCTATTCGCGTAGTTAATGTTTTTCCTCGACGAAGTCGGTAATTGATCATCGTTTTATTTGCTTTATGTAAAAATTTCGTATCACTTTTGTTGCTATCATTTGTAATGAATGACGGAAGTAGCAAAAAGAAAAAAAAGAAGCAAATCGTTTAGGAACCGCTGAACGTATTAAAATAGTAATGACTTGCTACAAAAAAACCGAATCTCTACTACGTGTTTTGTGCATTACGGGCATAATCGTTCATCTGAACGCACTATAGGCAAAGCTACCAAGATATTTGAAGAAACTGGATCTGCAAATATTGGTGCTGTTGGTGCAAGTGTCATTTGGATGCGACTTGTGGCACACTGTGGCGTTATTTCGGTTTGGATTTGCGTCTCCATCCTTGGAAAATTCAGCTAACACAAGAACTGAACCCTGCTGACCTGACCATGCAATCTGAGAAGATACATTGGTTAGATACTCGAACAACACTGTGTGCACAACAATATATCGCATTGAATTTTCTTCAGTGATGAAGTTTCGCGAATATGTGAACAAGCGAAATTGTCGCACCCAGAGCAGTGCAAATCCTAAAGCCGTTGTCGAAAAACCATTGCATTCCCAAAACGTTACTATATTCTGTGGAGATTCGATGGGCCCGAAAAAAACGATTATGTTACACAAACCTTCAATTCTGATCGCTACTCTCCCATGACAACCATTTTTTTTCGCTTAAGATTGAAGATACGGATGTTCAACAGGACCGTGCCGTGCCGCAAGCGTCAACACCTCTCATTTTGGCATTGTTGAACGAGAAATTGCCCGCACGTGCAATTTCATGTTTCGCAACATATCGGCGATTTCTCACTACTGACGACCTTTTTCTGGGGTTATGCAAAGAGTCAGGTTCATACGGACTATCTTCAAACGCTTGCCTAGGAAAAAATTCTTTTCGAATTATAGTAAAAAATGGCAACACCAGAGCCACTCTCGCGGAATATTTTTAATTTATTAATAAATTTGAGTTTAAAAAAAAAGAAGGTACATGCCTGAAGCTAGAGAAGTATGCAAAAGATTTCAGAAATACTCATTTCGGTATGATCGACATATATACGATTGAAAAAGTCCAATTTTTAACTTAAAAAAAAAAACAAAAAATAATTTTTTTGGAAAAAATTTTAAGGAGATAATAAAAGGAGTTGTGTAAGCCATTTTGGAATTTGCTATAGATATGTTTCCTTTCTGCAATAGACATTTCATTATATTTTCCCCATTGGTCTGCACTCAGTAAATCCATTAGAATTCTCATGTTCGAGTATTCTTCCTCTTTAGCTTACCTAAACGGTCTAACTGTATCAAAGACAAAATTACGCCATGTTGGGAATGGGCAAAGAAAGCGGCAAGCAAATATCTAACTGAATACTCGGATTTATAACAAACATCAGAAATTTGATCTAAATCCTCTAATGTTTTAGCAGACATATTGAAAGATTTCAAACCATTCCCTGCTACAATAACAATCTGTCTTAAGCAATTTCAACCATTCCTTATACAAATGCTTACCAGTATGTCTACGCGTGCCTGGAACATGCCCTGAGGAGTGTAATACCAAATAACTACTTTGCATGCCTCCTCCCTATAAACATAAATTGAAAACATATTCTTGGATATAAAATGCAAAATTTAAAATTTTAAAAAAATATATATGATGTGGTGTTTACAGCGAAGTTCAAAGTTGAACAAATGAATCGCGATGTTTATGGCGCTTGCCGAGTACAGCTCTTTGGATGAAAAATCAACGTGAACATATGGCATTTACATACGTAAAAAGCAAATTGAATTAGTTTTAAATGCAGCTCAGGTCATTCAACAAAGTAATAAAATATACTTTAAGGCAATTATAAAATTATACAAACACGTACATATATTATATATATTGTAGCAGGCAAAAGCACACCATTTGCAACATATACCTTAGGGAGGCAATTTAAAATGAATAAAGTGAAATAAATGAAGAATGAAGTGAAAAAAAGCGGAAAATTTTTGCTAATGAATTGCGTTTCGCAAATTGTTCGATATGAAATTAAACAAAAAAAAAAATTTAATTTTATTAAGTCAGCGCAATATATCTCAATGCCAAAACAATATTGATTTTATATTGACAAATTTGACCATTACGTTTGGAAAATATTTTATCTCTTCTTAATCAAGAAGTGATTCTGAATTTAACTCACATCATGTCTTTCAAATAATTGACCTTTTGTTGCTGGCATTTTTGTTGTAAGATCGTAAAAGCTTAGCCAAGAAGTCTGAAAAAAGTTTAATGTGTTCGCAGCGAAACATTGAAAGAAGTCAATATATATTTATTCTTTCTATAGTTTTCAACGCATTTTCAATTCATTTATATCGTTTCGAAATTAATTTTCCCTAAGAAACAGTTAAAATCTGTGTTCAATGTTATGAATAATTGCATTATACCTGACATACACGGTCTCATAGTTTAGTCGGTGCATACTCCGCAAGAGAATTAATTTTTCTTCTTCTTCGCTGTGCTGGATATTTCAATCTCAAATTTTTATGGCCACACTTGAGTTTAAAAATCCGTTTCTCATAGACATATACTATAATGTTTTATAATGCATTTTAAATGAATTAATTAAATTTAATTTCCATTTAAAATTTGAAAAGGGAAACGGAAAACGAAAATCGGAAAAATTTACAGGAAATGAAAAGAATGAGAACCGATTCGCCGAATTATTTATTTATTTATTTATCTAATCTTTTATAAGTCTTCTTAGGCTTATGAATGTGTATACATATATATACATATATATATAATTCTTTTAACCTTATTAAAGCTTAGTATATAGATACTATTTTTTTAGCTAACAAAGCGTATACGAACGCGATTATAAATGAGGGACAGTCCACAAGTACAGCCATTACAAATATATTACAGAGAAAATATTGACATTAAATAACGCTTCCGGCCGGTAAAATGTTATATTTGCTTTTACACAAGGATTTTCCTACATGAACTACTTTTATATATTCAAACAACCTTCGATATCGACAATTGTTAATACACTACTCATTATGGCAGTTGTTCGTTTTTTCTTCTTTTTTTTGTGTTTTTTTTTTTGTATTTGCCTTAACTCGGAAGGTAATTCGAAATTTTGTTACCCCGCAGCAACTACAATATATTCTGCATCGAAAGCAAATGAAGAAGACAAACTCTCTGTAAATTATGAAGAATCCAAAGTTTCTGAAAATATCTGAATAGAATTTTTAACAGCGAAACAATGACAAGAAATGTATATTCGGCCGTGTATATAATTATAGTAAACAGTTTCTTATAATGTTAAAAAAAAAAAAAAAAAAAAAAAAATTAATGGAACAGGTATTGATTTAGCGATTGATATTCATTTACCATTTACCGAAAAGCAAGTGCACTATATCATCCTATATTAACATAGCGTTAGCATAGCGTTAAGTCCATTAAAGAGAGTGCGTAAATATAATAATCTCGTGTTCTGAGAGTGTGTTTTACGCAGACAGGTATTTGTAAGCCTTAAATACATGTTACATTTAAAAGTAGGGTATATTTTATGTTATAACAATACTTTTACAATTTTTCAAGGTAATTAATAGTTTGTTTTTCTTCCATCAATTTTGTTTATTTGACCTTTAGATGATGTAGAACGTTTAAAGCCACAAAAACGCGGTTTCTTTCAGTCAATATTATGCTGTTGGCGACGTAATCGTACAAAAACAAATCAAAATGGCACACCAATCGATGGTTCAACAACACCGCCACCCCTACCGGACCAACAAAGGTACCTACTACCTCAGATTAGGCATTCGGATATGCACAAAAAATGTATGGTCATCGATTTGGATGAAACCCTGGTGCACAGTAGTTTTAAGGTAATTCGTTTTTTTTTTTTTTTTTCTTTCATAACTTTATATTTTAAATCGTTGCTTCAACTATTTTATTACGATTTAACGCTACGATTGCCAAAACTGATAGCTCAATTCAATTTTCGAATTTTAAAAAAAATAATTCCTATCACGTATGTGACGTTGCAGAAAAACATATGCATTTCTACATACATGGGCGTTTAGCCTATAAAGTTCTTGTTTCTAATGTTTTATGATTAAATTTGATGCCTAATAGAAATTTGACATAATACTTGACAGTGCGAAATTTGGCCTGCATGGGTTTATTTATCGGACTCCACCCCGTATAGGGGTTCTCATGAAAAACAATCAGCGCTTCAACGACAAAAATGCGTACACAAGAAGTTCTTTGACAAGAAGAGGATTCAATTTGCTAAATGTTGACCAGCATCCATCATTTTAAGGTCCGAATCTGGTCCCATACAAGGGATCCCATGAAGAGTAGGCCTTTACATGCAAACAAAATGCGGTTTTTGATATTATTTTGATCGCGAAAATTAGTGAAGAATTACCAAAGGGGGGGATGTCGTGTAGATTATTTAATGAGTCGACCTTGCCCGGGTATAATATTTTCACTTATTTCTGCATATTATTATTATAGTTGAAGAAATTTCCTTCATGCCGAAAATTTCATTTTAATTCTTCGTCCAAGGAATTTTGATACCTTTGAGATACCTTCGAACTGCTTCGTCTTTCTAGCTTGCCCTCAAATATTGTATGTGCAGCACCTATAGCTGGATTATTGATTAATAATAGTTTCTGTTCACTTTAACTTTATTTGTATAAATTCAAGAGACATAATTTCGATAAAGTAAAATAATGTCGAAGGTATTTAAAAGTCATCCCTGGCGTGAATACAATATCGAGTACAGTAGAAGACTGTTATTAAAAATTTTTACTCATCTTCGATACTTTTTATGGTTTGCAATTTTTAAAACGCGGCACACACCTGCAGTTTCTTATTACGTCCTCATGCACGCATGTCAAATGAGAAAACGGTGCTACCTTGAACCCTTAAAATAGTCTTTAAGTGGGTATACAATTATTTTTACTGCATTTAAATGTTCCTTTCCAAGGATATTTATTATTTTACAAAAAAGCGGCAATCAGTTGGTTTAAAATATTACACAAACCAATAATTTTAAAACGTTACCGCTTCAATATAATAAATTAACAGGGTTTCGTTTCGGTATGTAAACAACATTTATAGCATGTTCTAAGGTTATATATATTCCCCATTGCAAAAATTTTATTGCACATATTATAATATATGATAATCTTAACCTTTAAAATTTTTATTACATTATTGCATAATCTAACTCGCTAGGGTTAGGGTTCAATTTATAACAATTGATTCATACTTGCTTCTTGTAATACACATAGCTATTGATAATAAGTATAATGCATTGTGCTTTTAAGTTTTGAATAGTTCATTAGCATAATTTCGTAAACGAAATGTTTAGGTCATAGAAATGAAAATCAAACAAACCAAAATATTTAATAATTATAATAACTGAATAACTGTAGCATGGCCGTCGATATTTATTGTTGACAATTTTATATGGGCTAATAAGTTGTGCTGCGGTAGTGATTGCCCAATGATTTTTATTTTGCTTACTTTACTTAATTTTCTTACACTATTCAAGCACATTAGCAACGAAATATCCTTAAAATCCATATTAACCTGACAACGGATTCCAAATCATTTGTTGTTCATTTTTTTTTTTTTTTTGCAGATAAGCTTTTAAAGACTTCATGCAAATAGCAGCGTGAAGATAATTTGGAATTTACTTAGCAAAGACACCTACCATTTTCTCGAACACTTCTCTGTCAACATTCTAACTAGCCTCTCTTAAATATTCAGAAATGCGATACAGTTGACTTTGGAAGTCTACTCCCCTCCGTCCATATTAAAAAACCTGAAAAATTTTTGTGGACACCTCACAAATCTATATGAGAAATACCTTTCGAACAAGCAACAACAACAACAAATTAAAATTCGGCTTTTAGGAAATATTTCTCCCATTTTTCCCACTCAAATTTGGAACTTTAGCCACTGGAACCAAACTGGACCATGGCTCGTGTCGGCGGTGCATAGCCCACGCATAGGCAATACATGTGTATAGGTGCTGTATAGGCCAGGCATAGGCGGTGCATAGGTCCATGTATAGACCGCGCATAGGCGATGCATATGCGGTGTAAAGGTCACGCATAGCCTGTGCATAAGCGGTGCATAGGCCATGCATAGGCGAGATGCATGGCCACAGGACACATGGGTGTTTTCCATCCCCATTTTCAAAAAATTTTTAAAAATAGTTTCTGTTCTCCAGAATTTTAATTTGTTTAGCTTGTTTGAAAAGTGTTTTCATGCCGATTCATGAGATGTCCACAACAATATTTTAGGTTTTTTAATATGGATGGAGTAGGCTTCCGAATCCAACTATACGTTATTTCTGAATACTTAACAACAGAGGCTTGTTTAAACTAAATAATTAGAAATGCAAAAAAGAAGAATGGTTTCGATCATAACCCAACTTTCGTATCTGGCAAACCAGTCTTAGTATAGACCTCCTCCAGATGTTGAAATATAGTGACTCTTTGATTTCTGGATTCCAAAAACTCTGAAAACTAGTTAAATTTCGTATTAACTCTTAATGATATATTTCATGTTTTTTAAGGAGAACGCGCTTTGGTGTGCGTCGAGTATTAAGGAAAAATTAATTTCATTATAATTAATATTACTAATCGATTCGATTTCACGTTTAATTTTAGCCAATTCCAAATGCTGATTTTATCGTACCCGTGGAGATTGATGGCACCATACATCAAGTATATGTACTAAAGCGGCCCTATGTTGATGAATTCCTACGGAAGATGGGTGAATTGTATGAATGTGTTTTATTTACAGCATCACTAGCCAAATATGCAGATCCCGTAGCTGACCTGCTAGATAAGTAAGTTTTTGGAAAAATTTTATTATTCTGATTGCATCACAGATTTGATTATAAAATTCTTTCTTAATTAAATTTGTAAGCAATGCATGCACGTGCATGCATGTGCTTGATTTATAAAAAAAAAAAAGAAAAAAAAAAAAAGTGACAATATTGCGTCGTCCAATCTGAAATACCATAACTTAGCTATTTCCCAAATTTCACCGATGCCTGATACTGCCTATGGTAGTTATTATGTAAGTTAAGGACCATCCTAATAAAAAGAACATAGTTACGAACCACCCGCACAATTACGATAAACAGACCTAAAGTGTCATATTAAGTTAATATAAACACTTCTCATATAAAGTTAACGTAAACACTTCTCACCGATATCCAATGGCACCCTACCATAAACATCTCCCACAGATATCTCATTTCACCCTATAATAAAAATAAATGCTGACTGGATTATTGGTTAAAACCGAGGTTTCCTGTTTTATAAATCGATAAGAAAAGTCAGTCTCTTTATCACCTATCCATTTAAAAACAAATTTCAAACCAAAGAAATAAATTGTTAAATTAAAATACCCAAGGAAATAAAAATAATTTAACGTGTATATGATTTTTAATTTTTGACACGATTTCAAATTAACGGCATGCGTGACGGCAATCGACTTGTTCTGGCGTTAGTCAATAGTCATTCATTTTGAATCAATCGATAATATAAATGCTGGGTTTATCTTGAGCTATACCAGGTGTTGCGTGCACACGTCCATGCCTATCAACGATAGTTAGAATGCCTTTAAAACGTTAACTTCGTCTTCTTCTAATCTCAATCAATTCTAATGAAATTTAATTAAAGGTAAAAGCGCGATAGTGATACATATAGTAAGATGGAGCAATTCGGTAGCAACATTCGGGCAACGAAATTATTATTTGGTGCTTCATGTGTACTTCATGCGTCTCATACAAAATATTAATATGCGCGATAAGAGTAAGAGAGCGAAAGAAACTGAAATAAGTAGATTTACTGATTTTTACGCAACAAATTTTTGAAAAACTGTTCATCACCAATATATGTGAGCGATAGGATGATGTATTGAATAGATCTGTGCGCTGTAGTAGAAACACTTCTGCGCGATTGCGAAATCGTGAATAAGAACGGAAATGGGTCGATGATTGGATCGCTGCCCAACAAATATCGTTCGTTCGATATAGTATCGCCGCCCAATTGCTAGAAAGATGGATGAAATTGTAATTTTTTCATATATTAATTGATTTTTCAAATGAAAAAATGATTAGAATATATGCAACCACTTATTATATATATTTTCTCTTAAATTTATCACTTTTACTCTTATATCTTATAAACATTGCATTGTAACGAAGTATGTTGTTTAGATCTATCTATGAGTGAATGGGCAAAGCGATTCAATGAATAAATTTTTATCAATTTATTCAACTTTCGAGTTTCGGCTCAAAAATGCACAATTTAAGCAAAACTAAGTTGTGCACGTAACCACACGGAATCGAACCCAGTCCTTACGCCAACAACGCGACTATACGCATATACTTTATTCATTCTTCAAATCGGCATATATATTTTACTTCATTTATATATATTCGTATTCTCATTTGATTCAATTACGTATGTATACACGTGCAAAATCTATATATAATCATAATTTTTCATTAGTCGATATTATGATAGATGTTTAGGAAAATAACAACATTTCAAAGACAACATTAAATGAGGGCGTATGAGAGCGAGTTTGCAACAAAATACCAAACATGGGAGAACCAAAAATTGAAGATTCTATTGCTTATGCTTACTACAGACACACAATTCTTTGAGTAAGCATGTGACACTAATGCGTCGTCGCACAGCTTCATATAAACGCTTACATATGTTGCGGCGTTGAGCCTTGCATAGACATGTTGCATAACTATCCAGTATATATACTCATATTAGTTTCTTTCACTCTCTTGCTCTCATACCCGTTTGTTTACATTTTGCGTGGCAGGGCTGAAGTACCACATAGGAATAGTAGTTGGTTGCTAGCGAAATGCCAGCTTACTATATCTAATGCTTTTTACGTGGAGCGTTTACCTTTTCTGGTAGGATACAATTATTATTTTAATCTAGAAATTGGATTTGTGGCCTTAAAAAAGTATGAAAATTTGATTTATTAACGAGGCTTATCACACTGAAAACGATTTCGATTTTAATATCTTCCCACTTAACGATATTATCTATGACTGTTTTCTCTGACTTAAGAACTTAACGCGATTTTTTATGCAGACGGATTGAAAGTTTTGCGTGAACCATTCACAGAGTGATGACCGAGATATGGCAAATTCTTAAAGAGAAAGTTCGAGTCATCACAAAATCTATTCGCTATTCGTATATTTAAATTCTATACGTCATTGCCGTAACTGATTATAGCTCTGCGATGAATTGTTGCAGGATGTACCGAGTTGAAGCTATTTTAAGAGAAATGTCACATGACAATAATAATTGCAAATGCAATAAACGGAAATAAGGCGATCGATCTTATCCAAAAATGATGTGACAGTTTAAGCTTAGATTAGGAATATATGCTTTAAGTAATAATAGATAAATGCATCATACATTGTTTAATAAAATTTTTGTAAATTATTTATATTTCAGATGGAATGTATTTCGTGCAAGACTATTTAGGGAATCGTGCGTTTACTACAGGGGTAATTATATTAAGGATCTAAATCGTTTGGGTAGAGATTTACAAAAAATTGTAATCGTTGACAACTCGCCCGCAAGCTATATTTTTCATCCAGATAATGCGGTAGGTGATTAATGACGATGACGAGGAAAACACTTGCACTTTTAAATGCTTATCTCATTCTCGTTTAGGTTCCTGTCAAGTCATGGTTTGATGATGCCAGCGATTGCGAACTGTTAGAGCTGATACCACTTTTTGAGAGACTCAGCAAAGTCGATTCTGTATATAGTGTTTTGTGCAATTCGAACAATCCGCTAAATAATCACAATCAGCAGCAGCAGCAGCAGCAGCAGCAGCACCAGCAACAACAATCAACGCAATCACAACAACAGTTACAGCAATCGCAACAATTGCAACAGTTACCGCAAACGCCACAACAACAACAGCAGCAACAACAGCAACAGCAACAACAGACGATAACCGCAACAACTATAATAACGCAAGCTTCAACCTTATCAACGCCTACAATACTGACATCGCAGCAACAGCCACAACAAACACAACAACAGCAGCAGCAACACCAACAGCAACAACAACAACAACAACAACAACAGCAACAGCAAGGTAGTCCGCCCAATCATAATGATTTAAATAGTAAAACGTAACATCAGTGGGAATTGATGTTTATTAATATTTAATTTTATTTTTAATACGGTTTGTCTTCTTTTAGGTTTAAACTTTTATTGTCTTGTACGTTAAAAAAAAAAATTTTTGAAACGAAACAGGAAAAGGTTTTAAGCTTTTTTGACTGCAAAATATAATTTTATTCGAAAATGTTACATCACTTTTACGCGCAGACTATACAGGATCTAAGAATCTGTCGTTAATAGCAATTGAATTGAATCATGCTCGCGCATGGAATGATTGTCGCTACCCTGCGTAAATAAACATTATCACACGATACGTAACCTTTCGAAATACAACAATTTATGATTGAATTTGTATCACATCAACGTTACGAAACGATGTGTAGTGTTACCAATGCCCACTAAAATGTGAACGTCACGTATAAACACAAGTGGCAAAAATTCGCCTGGACAAATAATTCACGCCGACATTGACGAAATTGCTCTGCCCCTGCATTGCTCACCAATAGGTTCACTCGTAGGCGCGTGTGCTCTTCTTTTTTTTTACGACTGGACAAATTTGATAGGAATTTTAGGTAGCGTGCGTTGAACTTATTGACATTTCATAACTAAGACCAGTCCTTGTTTTTGCTATACTATAATGAGTTTGTCAAACTCGAATTATGCAGCGAACAAATATATTTCAAGTTTTCTAACATGAAATCCTGAAGGATAGGGGATATGTTCATTGTGCCAAAAAGCAAGCAACACCTGCAAGTAGGAGTGTGCAGAGACCTGATAAAATATATATATATATATGTTGTTGATCAGCATCAAATTCTAAATCAATTTAAAATTGTCCGTATCTGTATAATAATGTGTGTTGGAAAACTCCTCTGGGGCGCAAAAATGAAGCCTCCGAAATTTAGGAAAATAATTGGGTGAAAGGGCAAGATAATAGTGCGAGAAAATGTGCGAGAAAATGTGCGAACACCTTTGCCTCTTTGTGCTTTCTGCTTCGCATTCACGATCTAGGAAGAATAGAGAAAATCGCGCACGCCCGTCCCACTTACAGTTAAACATTTTTTTCTTTTGTTCTTTTTAAAATAACAGCGATAGGAATAAAAGATTCCCTCGCAGTCGAACAACATTTTCTCATTTTGTTTGAATTAATATTTTCTAAAAATATATTTATTTAGGAAAGCTTTCTCAATGCAATTAACGCATGTCTATTGCATTCAGTGCTGTGAGAAAACGAAATTAAGCTGGAATCGAGTTGTAAACTATATAAGCAGTGCATGTAAACTTTTGTTTTTCCATTTCTTGAAGAAATGTCAGAGTCGTTGAGCGTTTAATTTTGCGTTTGTACAGATTTGCTCTGTAGAGAGAGAGAGTGAGAGAGAGATAGAGATAGAGAGAGTGAGAAGGACAGAAAGGTATTAAAAATGGAAGACTCGTTAATTTATTGCCTTGCGTCGTATTTCACCGCAATTTCAATTTTCAAAATAAATTTCGGCGCCGTTTGTTCTCGGTCCCTGCAATTATAATGCACAATGACCAGTGGCGTTAAAAGTGATGTGAAATCAAATTTGTGTACCAATGAGGGGACTTAAAATTTATATATAAAATATATAAAAGAAAATTTTTTAACATATTAACTCATTTGTATTCTATTTTCCTTTAAATTACATTTAAGTAAAATTAAAAATCTGTATTTGTTTTTTTTTCATTTACGAATATATTTTATAAACTAAAGAAGACAACAAAATAAAAAAAGAAAATCTTGCAATTTCATTTTTTTCATTTTCTAACAAATTAAATATATATATATATATATATCTATGTGTGTGTATGTGTGTGTGTGTGTGTGTGTGAGCGAGAGTATGAGTGTTTGTGTGTATATTATAGGTATATGTATTTATTTATATTTATATATATATATATATATATGTATATGTTTACAAAGTTATTTGATAAGCTTATGTAAATTTTCTAAAAATTTGCTTACAACAAAAATAATGTAAAAATTATAACATAAATTAAGTACGATAAAATATTTATATATTTTTAATAATTATAATAAAATGGAAAAAAAAAAACACTTTATTTTTTAAATACAAAAAAAAAAAAAAAATATTGATTAAAAAACCATTTACAAAAACAACACTAACTAAAAAACGATAAGAGACGAGTCTCTGAACCTAATACCCTCCGCCTTTCAAATGTTTTTATTTGCTCTTTATTATTAATAAAAAATACAACAAATAATTTTTAAATAAGCGAACAATGTCCTTTTATAGGAAGTATTTGATTAGAAATACACATATATATATATATATATATATATATATACCGGGCAGAAAGTTTTCCTTTCATTTTACTTCTTTTGCAGATAATCAGTTTTATGACTTTCTTAGTCTCGCGATTTTTTTCAGAGCGAACAAAAAATTAATGCTAAATCCGCCTTGCGTTACCAGCCGAAATATGCATCACTGTGATCTTTCATTCATAATACTCGATCTATACTTAAGCGATCGAATCGGTTAAGTGAGGCTAGACTGTCAATAAATTGTTGCTATTGCCATTTAAGCATTATTACCCCGTCGACCTGTGTAAACACGCTTGAGAAAAGGAAAATAAATGAAATTGAAAGGAGTGGAAAAAAAAAAAAAACACACAGATGCAAACAACGCACTCATCCTAGGCTCTTATATAATTCTCTTTCTTGACATTCACTGAAAACCCCATAATCCGATTCAATCTGATCAAAACATCAAATCAAGTTTATCCTTCTAATCACGCGCGAGCAGACAGACCAATAAATTCGATTTCGCTATTCGCGTTACAAATGCTGCAGGAGTCACGAATGCACGACAAATGTTTTGCAAATTTTATAAGCTCATCGTAGTCAGGTGAAAAGAAAAATTACTTTCCGACAGACCAATAACATCTTCATCGTCGTTTAAAATTTTGATGCAAGTAAAGTAGATGTAGGTGCGTCCAAATCTCTTTGTTAGGTAGTAAAACATCCAACATATATTTTATTATATTAAGCAAATATGTTAAATTAAACCGTAATTACTACTAAATCATTGTCGGTTTAAAAAGCTATTCAAAGGAGTATTCAACTTTTCAAAATCACTGGGCACAGAGAATTACATTTCATTGTGAAACATTTTTATTTATTTATAATTTTTCTCTTTTGCGCGTTTTTATTATTATATTAACTCCAAAAAATATTTAAAAAAAAAAAAAAGAAAAGCCTTTATTCTTAATTATAAGTTAACCGGAAAAAGATGAAACATAGCAGTTAAGTTAAGATTTTATTATTTATATAAAATTCATAACAGATATTAATGTATTTACTTAAAAACGTACAACTTTTGCATTATTTTATGTATTTTTATTCCCAGTAATAGGGCTCGCAAACAAATTGCAATGACAAAAATTCAGATAGAAAGAAAAATACTTGGTGCGCATATACTCCTTGATAATTTCTACAGATTAAATATAAAAGTCGATTGAATCGGCATATTCGGTAGATGATATGTATTGAGAGAAATTCAAAAGTAAACTTGAAAATTTTATATTTTTATTATTAACAAGTTGAAAGAAAACCCGAGCAGAAGTCGCCCGATAACGCGATCAAATTTTCATCAATTATTTGCAGAAATTTTTATTCAACTTTGTCAAAAGCAATCTCGATTGCTCAGGTTTTAAACATATACATACACAAGGCGAATTAAACTCATCACATTTGCTTCGTACATTTTATTTCTTTTCTTCTTCCATTCCTAAGACAGTATGATGCCCTAGTCTTGGTTTTTTTTTTGTTTCATTATTTAACTTAGAGTAGGAAGGGGAATGTGGAAGTACTAATGCCATTTTGTTTTTGTTTTTTTTTTTCTCATCACACCTGGAATTTCCGATTTGGAGCTTTTGTTGCACTTAAATTCACTCCTGCGGTCTTTTCCGCGCTAAACCGACTCAATTCTCATAAATGTTTATTAAACAAAAAAAAAAAATAATAATAATAATAATAATTTATTATTATCAATAAATGTAGAATTTTCTCTTTTATGGCGGAGTGTGCAATCCAAAAAACTTAAATCGATTCGCTCCACATATTTCCTCCGATGCACAAAGCCTATGTAAATTATGTTTAGAAAATAGAAAGAATTTACATATTTTGTGATGAAAATAAACCTAAGGTGAGTATAAAAAGTATCGATCCATCATTTCCCTATAATCTCGGTTTTGTTACATAGTTTTTCAAAAATTAAGCATTTCCACTTAAGTACTTCTACGTTCTATCTTGCGTTCTTTGAAATGCTTTCCCAAAAATGTTAAGGCAAATGTTAAGAGGCGAGCGAAGTAAAGTTTTGGACGCCTATTATCATGAAGTAACATGTCACGCATTATCGGATCACTTGAGATCATTTCTATCGATGAAAATTTATAACAACAACAAATCAATGTCAATGTTAAGAGATTGACGACGAGAGACTTTATGTATTTCTTATAATTAAAAGCTGTTTCCTGAAACGATTTGATTTTGATCGAGAAATATTAAAGACTTTGCATAATATTTATTTATTTATGTCTGTCAGTCGCAACCTGCCCAGCCGTAAATATTAGTATAAGAAAACAATTTATATCTCAAAATGAATTTTGAAAACAAGTTTGATTCGTTTAGAAGAGATGAAAAATTGCAAAAACTCCGTGTCTGCGTAAATTTAATCCAAATACATGGAATGGCAAAAAAAAAAAAAAAAAAAAAAAATAGAAAATTTAAAAAATGCAAATTTTCCTTCGATATAAATCGACGCAATGTACAAGTTAGTTCAATGCCGATCCCCTCCCAATTAACTTTAATATTTTTTAAAATACTTTCCAATTTATATACCCAATACCAAAATATTCACCAGAGGCCTTATAGTGTGTGCGATTCCTATTATCTTAATTCCTGCAAACGCAGCGATTGCAATGAGAAATTGTGTTTTCATTTATATGATTTCAATGAATGGTTAAGAAACGGCGAGGAGTACAAAAACAAAAAATAAATAAATAAATAAACAAAATAAAAATTAATAAATAAATGAACAAATAAATAAATAATCCATTCATTGTCGATAATATATATTTTATAGCAGAAATCCCATTTAAATTTAAAAAAAAAAAAAAAAAGGAACTAATAGGGAGTCATCTATTTAGAGACGCGGTGCGAAAATGGCACTGATTGACAAACATACACGTTCAAAATTAACAAAACAAAAAGCTTGACAATTAATGAGGTGTGCGGGTATATAATATTTACTAATATAAGCTTCTCATCTTACCGATAAACAATAATCTTATATTAATGATTTCTCAACGCGAAAGCGAGATTTTGTTCATAAAATTTGATTACAATTTTATTTATTTGTAATTCTTCGCTTTCCACTTTTTAAAAGAATCTAAAAAAAAAAAAAAAAAAAAAAAAAAAAAAAAAAAAAAAAAAAAAAACAAAATAAAAATTACCATTCATATCATTATCACAGAAAAGCTAAAAGAACTTTAGAGTAAGCTTTAAAACATCATTTGCTTAAAAAATATTTATATATAAAAATAAAAATAAATAAAAAAAAAAAATAAATAAAAAAAACATAAAGCTTTAAGTACACATATTTATGAAAAAAGAGAAAGGAAGGATATATATATATATATAGATATATATATACATATATATATATATATATATCTACATAGTAGTAATAATAAGAAAATTTGTGACCAAATTACTTAAACTTAATTTATTATATACTACATTGACGATCGATTTGCTGTATATAAGAAGAAACAAAAAATCAAACATAAAAAGGGATAACAAATGCTATTTTTGCTAAGAAATACACACAAATAAAACAAATGATAAATGAATTAAATTTAAAAAAGCCCACCTATGTAAAAATTAATAATTTTGTAATAATGTTTAATAAAAATTAGGCGGAAAGTTTTTTTCTAAAGCTCTTTTAGCTGATATAACATCCAAAAAAAAAAAAAAAAATTACTTACACTCTTAAACGTAAACTAAATAAAAATCAATTTTTTTTCAGCATATTTTGATGTAATAAATTCTATAATATGTATAAAGATAAATACATTTTACACATATACATGTACTATCACCCACATTATATAGACGTAAGAAGAAAGGAAAAAAAATAAAAATCTAGTTTTAAATAAAAAAAACTTATAATAAATCGACGGACACTTAAATGTATAAAAAATTGCTTTCAATTGAATGTATATTTTTTTTTTTTTTTTTTTTTTTATATATATATAACGAAAGAATTTAAAAAAATCTTTGTGTATTTATTTAAAAAAACATCCAATACCTTTATGATCAAATAAAATCAATAAAAAGTGCGGGAATTGGATAAAAAGGATAAATAATTTTTTTAAAAAAATGTGTTCTTCCTTTGAGCAAAATCTTGTGAGAAGTCTTTTTTTCTTTTTGTTATTTCCAGATAGCTTTCCATCGTTTATTTTCCATTGCCATCCATAGACGTTAATTACGTGCCATATGGCCGACTGAGATGGCTTAACACTTTTAATAGTAATCGATGTTGGAATTTCTAGATTGGACTAAGAAATTGCTGCAATGGAAGGAATGAACTAAAAGAAAGAAAGCGATTACAGAGAATGACATGACGGTTTGACAGTTAAACTCAGTAAAGGAAAAACAAAGAACATTGCACCTTGAGATAAAATGCAAAGAAACTTTACTTTCGCCTAGTCGCCTTTGCAGAGGCGGCCAGTGCTTGGACAGCATCGCGTCGCCCGTACCATTATCTCTTCGGTTTCTTTGCCATCTGCTTCTTGCATGCACTTTCTATAAAATATATCAAAAACTTTATTGGAAAGCACGATGGGACGAACACTTCCTTTACACCCATGTTTTTAATTTTAATTTTTTTTTTTTTTTTGTTGGTTACTGTTGCCTCTTCTCTCAGTATCAAAGTGAACATTATATGAACTATGTGATCCTTGATGCTATGCGAACTCAACCCAGCTTAATGCAGTCAACGAAATTTTTTAAGCACAATATATATATAGTCTTAACTAAGATCTTGAGGTATTCCAGTCTTTTCACACCTATCGTCCCATGAAATAGGACTAACCTCGTAATTAGATTTAGATTGTTACCCTATGCCAAGTTAACAAGGTAGGACGTTATAGCCGGAAAAAGCCTTGCATTGGAATACCGTACACCACTTTTTTGGAAAAGTCTTATATGAAAGGACAACTAAAACCGAGCCGACGTGGCCTAAATCCAATGCAGATAAAGTTTCTGCTAAAAAATGTCTTATTCTTCACCTGCTTTAGCCTGAAAAATAGACATTTCCGCAATAGAAACTTATTTTCAGGGAAACTTTATATGCAGAGAATCTCGCGCGCACTAATTTGCCCATAATTTAGTATAGCGAGCGTATATGTGAAATCAGTATTCTTAACCGATTATTGCTACAAAATACATCCATCTGGTGTGGATTTTCGTCTGAAAATATCGAAAACATAAATTCTTTTCATATAACGACTTATTTTAAATAGGGCGCCATGTGAAGAGTAGACATACAAATGCTGATATACACCCATTTCCAATGTGGTTCATCTGTAGGCTGCAAGCTGCCACTTTATCAAATTTTATCAAAATATTTTTAAAGTTTCAGCCTACAGGTTAACTACAATAACATATCGATAGGCGGGGCTGAACTTCAAGCCCACCTCTATAGCAGCAGGTCTGGCCTAATTTTACTTGATGTTTGGTCTTCGAAACTACTAGGTGTACAAAAATCTTACAAATCTTAGATCTAGTGATGCGACATAAAAGCCGTTTATAGATAAAAAAAAAAAATGTAATCAAATATCTTAACGAAAAAGATAACTAGCTTTGTTCTGGGAATTTCGACGCTCTTCGCAGTAAACGAGAACGAAAATTTATAAACTGTGATATTTCAATTTATTGTATACAAATCGTCTAAGGAAATGTAGCGATATCTAGCTACTTCTTCGACGCTTCGAAATCTGAAACAACATTCTACGTTATATAAGAGTATGCATACAGTGTATGAAAAATAATTATACTTTTTTATTTATTCATTAAGTAAATATATAAGGAGTGATTTACGGTTCCCGATATTAAGTAAACTCGATCGTAATTTGAACGTGTTAGTAGCCAGTAATTTTACGATCTGAAGATTTTCCATCCGGTAATAAGAATAATGCATATTTAATCGCTGCAAGTCTTAATTCAAAGCTGCCGAGCTTTCTTGATAATGAGAACCATAAATCGGTCCTAGAATGTGTTAACGAAAAGGGTAACTTGATAATATATTAAATAGCCCGAATGCAAAACCGTTAACTTGTCACTGTTTCTCGTTTTTTACAGAACGGCATGATATTGATGTTAGTTAAATCAAAGGCCAAGAGCCAAAGACCAATTTTCAACAAAGAGATAAATATATTAATGGGAAAATGTTAAAGAGGCATTGAATAAAATACGGCATGAGTTTGTTAACATCGACGATACAAATATTTCACTTATATAACGCATTCGCTGTAGATTTTTAGACAAAACAAAAAATTTGTTGCCTCTAATCCTTAAAAATATAAATTTTAATTTCCTTATCTATTCTTACATTAAATAATTCTATTTTACATTAACTAGTAAAAGAATAAGAAACGCGCGCAAGTAAAACTCTTCAAAAGATTCTAAATTTAACTGAAATAATAAACTCATTTACTCATTCAAAGAAAGAAGAGAAAAAAAAGCAAACGTTCGAAGGACATTAATTTAAAATTTTCGTAAACAACTATCGATATTTGTTGGCGGTTGTTAACAATACCACAATTACTGCTCTTTTCACTTTGTGTCAGATATTTTGCGACCGTCGTCTTCAGATGATTTGCTGGCAGAGAACGAATTCCCTTGCGAAATATTAATTTCACTTTTATCTATAGCGGATTTCCTCTCCATGAGTTGATACCAAGGATCTTCAAGCATTGATAAATGAAAATATGATGCATTCATTTCGTTTTTCCTCTCGGGATTTGTCTGAAAAGCAATTCATACCGGAATTTTTTCTTAGCGTCTCGGCGCTCTGCAAATAGTAAAAGCCTAACTAACCTTTCTAAAATGATTGTTTACATTCCTTTTACATGGAGAGCTCCAACGTCTTTGTTGTCCACCATAGTTGATATTTTTGCCATATTCCCCATGTTGCTGTAGGCATTCCTTTCTCTGGTTTGTCGAATTGTGCCCGCTAGTATATAATGATATGAATTCTTCAGATTGTGATGGATATCGCTGAATTGGTTGAGAATACGGTGAAGTGTAGTTTTTACCAACTCTTCCTTGCTTGGCCATTATGTAGAATCGCTTTATAAGAGCAGCAAACAAAGATAAGATTATTAATTTATAAGAAAATAAACTAAACAACCAATCGCTTCTTCTTCTTAATGATTAAAAGCGAACATATCGCACAGTGTGAAATAATATTTGATAACATTTTCAATTTTCTGGTCTAATTTTTTTTTATTTTATAAATTAAGAAATTATAGCATGTCTACATATAATTTTGTTTCGAAGACCACAAATATTTGCTATAGGCTCTGTTTATTTACTGCTACCGGTTTTCGGCATATTATATATATATTTGTCAGGCAGTTTTCTAGCGTGAAACTGGGTAAGTACGAGGAGGTTAACGGTAATAAACGCACAATATATTGGGGTAACCTACACAAAAGTGTAGCGGACGATTCACTTCATGAAGTGTCCGTGCAAGTGAGCCCTATGCAAAAGCATTGAAAATCCATTGATCCGTTGCCAAATCTTTTAAATGTTGTTCATTTAATTATCCCTACAATAAACGGAGAATTTTTTAAGTATCATACTTACCTTTAAACCTTCATAGGTTCATTGTATCCTTCAAAAATATAGGCTACGAATAGGTTTTAAACGCGAATGTTATTTATTCTTAAGGGAGAAACTTGGCTTAATATTATATTAATATTATTCGCACATTCTATTAATAAGCAAAACTATAGTAGCATTTTCCTCTTCTCGTATAGAGATTTTTGCTTTGTTAAAAATATACCGTTTTGATTCAAAACAAATCGATCTGTCTTCCTTTTACTATCCTGCTATTTATTATCTCCGATCCCGATAAGTCCGCAATTTATAGTGTCGAACTTTAAAAATTTTAAGCAAAACTTGGCAGCATAGATACCAATTCGACCAATTGTTTATCCAATTTATGTTTTGACATCTCAGTAACTCAATTTCATTCAGGGCAAAATATAATTTTGCTATAACAATGCCAACAATGCCTGCATAAATGATGCCAAACCAAAAAGAGCTCTCTCAGAAAATTGAGAAAATTTGTTTCAAACAATGAGAGTAAATATTCTCGTTAAATCTACATTGAGGTGCTAATTTGCGAATAGATTTTTGCCTAACGTATTCATATTTGAATCACTTATATTTATATTATTATTATATTTGAATCATTTATATATAATGATAAAATTATATATTTGATTTAACAAAAGTTTGTATTTAGTTTTACTTTTAAGTGTAAATAAAACAGTAAGCAAAAAATAAAAAACATCCAAATAACTTTCTTTTAGGCGCAGGTATGTGAGAAAGCCTGAACAGCGTGAAAGCCCCTGAGACAGCCACTTTGGAATGTCCCTCACGGAGTCGAAAAGAAGAAATACTAAAAATGTTAATGAACGAATTGAAATTTTTTTCTTTTTTTTTCGTTTATCATCATCACTGACAAAATTAAAATTAAGTGAAGTCGTTTATATTAAATCGACTTAAGTCACCTTGGCAGTAGTTTGTATCATCTCTTTTTCAGCTTTATACATTAGTTTAGAAAGTCTTTTTTGTTTTTATTTCTTGGTATAACCTTTATTAAATCAATATTAATTTCTGTCAATATGTTAATAGCATTTATTATTTCAATTATCAAACTTTGAAATTTGTTTGGAAATTTTTTTAATAACAACACATTTTATTTAACATGACATATTTTTTAAAAATGTCTTTCCTTATTTGTATAATTCATTGCTTAATCAGTTTGGCTTTTCAAGCATTGTTTGCAAAAATAAAAACAAAAATGAATCAACTCTCTCAGCCTATTATTTCTAGGCTTAATATATACCTTAAATTAACTTGATAAACTCGAAAAGCGTAATTTAAAATTTTTGTAAAATTGCAAGTTTAATAACGTGTGTGTGATTGCTTTTCTTATGTGAAGAAAGTCTCATAAGCATCATATATTAATCATATTATTGTATTACGATTAATACTTTTTAAATTTTAATTTAACACAATAATTTTTAGTGGAGTTTTGGTCTAATCCAAGCATTTTGATTTTTATCGAAAACTCTTTTCTGTTTTAATTTAATTTTCGTATAAGAATACAACTCTGTACCTGCAAAATGTGTATGAGAGATGGATAAGATGGATATTATTTTGTTAAAATTTCTTTTTACTCTCATATATTTTTTTAAATACTTTATATTTGGTATCATTTATGCAAGTATTGCTGGCGTTATTATTGTAAAACTTTGTTTTACTCCCAGAAATTTCTTCAAATACTCTTACTTGGCATCATTTATTCAAATGTTGCTGACATTGTTATTGTAAATTTTTGTTTACTCTTTTACTCTGGGAAAAAACATTCTCTATTGATTTATATTTACTCAGAGAATTGATTTGCAACTGACAAGCAAGTAATTTTATTTTATTATTTTATATATTTTATCTCTCTCGAGTGAAGTGTAAGCGGAGATTAGCTGTTTTTTTAACAATTTTAATAATTATTTTTCGCTGAAAATTTTCATTTGACAAGGAATTAAATGCATTTGCCACTCAAAGTTATGGAAAAACAATAAATTTCCTGAGGCAATTGGACAATATTAGGAAAATTCGCAATAAAAAAGTGTTTGGGTTTTTGTGTAAGATGCAATATATTAGTGGATAATAAAATTTTGAAGTCGTATTAATACAATGCTTTGTACGAGTTCTGCATGATGATAAATTATGGAATTGACATAGAAAAATCTGTTTTGAAAACGGAAAAAGTGACTAGACATAAATACACATATATGCATACATGCATATGCACAGTATGGGCGAACGTACGTACATTTATTGAAAATTTTGCTTAAGCTACTGGCTGCTGTTTGCTTTTGTATGTGGCTGGGAGTGCAAGTCTTGATAATGTTATGCATATAAATTTGCATTTGTGTGTGCTCGCGCAACATAGTGACGTTCATTTCTTTCAATCACTTCCGTCCATTTTGGAGTACTGAACCTATTTTCATTTAGATTATTATTGTTTCTTTCTTTTGTGTAAATTATGAGACTAATCGATGCATAACAACGAAAAGTTCTGATGTTTTATATATGTTTAATAAGTTATTGAACACACCCATTCTGAACGATTCCTTAAAATATATTTCCAGGCCTGTGATTGAACGCTTTCAATAAATAGAGTGTGAACGCAATCCAAAAGTTGATCGTCTTTTCATTAACGAAGGTTTTGAACGTAAATTTTGGATATCTTCAGCGAATTCAAGGAGCAACTCTCAAGTTGCCCAGCCAAGACCCGAGCTTTCTGTCGCACTGTCCAAACGACAGTGTGGGGCGCAGTGTCATCGCTCGGCACAGTATTAGCCGTACGGGATAGCGGAGGAGGCAGCAGCGGTGGCTCGGCATCGTTTGCTGCATCTTCGGATAGTTCTGGTGGCGATCGTATTGCTTCTATCATGGGATCGGTAAAGTCGCGAACTCTAATCTCGACTGACAATCTTATTGATGATAGCAATGTAGTTTGTGGTGCGTCTTCATACTATCAGCAACATCAAATGAAAGGTGCGGCGAGCGGAAATGGTACGGGGCTATTGCAAAAACGTGATTTGCGCTATGATATCGGCACTAGTTCACAATATCATCCGATCCGTCAACCTAGCGTTCGAAATCGCCCTCAACAGCCGATGCCCACAACGGACGAGTTAGATCGTCGATTCGCTAAGGTTTTAGTGAGTATCAAACGATAATTGCATTTATTTTTCCATTCATCCACGTAAAGGTTATGCGTTTCTATTTTTATTTCGTCTTTTATTTGTTGCTTGTCGCATTAACATATCTATTGCAATAATATTAAGTGGGGTCTGTTATTATTTAAACGTCAACATCGTTTTGTCGCTATATCATTTTAGACATTTTAATGTTTTTATGGAAATGTCATAATTTGAAGGTTTTTGCAAATTTATAATAAGACTTGAAAGAATAAATGATTAAGATAAAGAGAAGAGGAGAATCAGTGAATAAGTGAAAACAGAACATATTGCAAACAAAACACATGATGCAATTAAAAGCAAAACAACATGTAAGCTTGGGCTTCGATTACACAATTGAAATCAATCTAAAAAACGCTTCGCGGACACCGAGTGCAAAGCACATGTTGGTATAGCAAAACAAGAATTAATTATCGTATAATGTTTTCAATGTAAAAAGAAGCGACTAAGAAAGCTGCACCAGCTAGTTTCGCGAATCTTGCATACTCTACACTTTAAAGATTTGTCTGATAGCAGTACATGAATGAGTGAGTCGGTCCCTTTTTCAAACTTTTTCCATAACATTTTTCGAAAAATATCTCTCTTGGAAAGGAATAATAAAATTGATATTTTCTTAAATTTATAACCACTTTTTTTTTTTTTTTTGATTAAACTTATTTCGCTTTTCATAGTGCATTTCTTTATATTGTTATGATATTGTGTTTTATGATTGTAGCGATTTCTTTATTTGATAATTAATATTCTTGCGTTAAGCGACAATGTCTGTTTGTGAACATTACCAAATATTATGGGTGTTTACGATCTTTTCACCTTTATTGGAACTCTTAGAAATAGGCTTTGGCGACAACAGTATTTATATCTATTTGCAATCTATATGAACTTTTCAAAACTATTCACTTTTCTGTCTGTCATGCTCTGCCTGCAAGAAGATGTATAATAATTTTAAGGTAGACCAATAAGTCGACGTTATTTTAGCCCATCTATTATCAAAAATACTGATTTCTCAAATGCGTACCAAAAGTACTCGTAGTGATTTAGTTCCTAACAACGATAGATTATTAATCTAAAACATAAAATTAAGCCAATTTGCAAGTGTAGTTGTTCACATAGTTTAATTTGGTGTTTGGTATCAAACTCATATGAAAGCTTGAAAATTCCATTAGAAAATTTCCGATGCAAGTAATTACAATTGATCCTTTGACACACCTATCCAATAAGAAATGACTATTTGAGAAGTTGAGTATTCAAAATCCGCTTTAAGTCCGACATGTTTGTACGTTTCCGGAGTGAGCCGTTTCGATTAACATTACGTTCGTTTTTTATTAATATTCAGCATTTATTTTCTAAGAAATTCTATCCATAAAGATGAAAAACAGATTTGCTAAAGTTTTACTTGATATGATTCATGTTATAGTAGACTGCGTTAAAAAATTAGTAGGGTCAGACATTTGACATGTGTATGATATCATAAAAAAAAAAAAAAAAAAAAAAACAAACAAACAAGTAAAGCACTGTAATAAACGGATACATTTGCAAGCAGGCGCGGGCATGTTCACACTTTTCGTAAAGGTGTATACATTCGTGCGGGTACGACATGTGGGCCAAGTAAGCTTTATATAGGCACAAGCCTAAGTATGTCAATGAAGCAAATTGGACTACAAACATATGCATTTTAAATATTTTTGATTCGAGGAGTCATGCCGTGTAGTGTTGTTGCTACATATGAGTTTGATTTCTTATTTAAAATTATTTATCGGTTAGGATTTATTGTTGTTATGGAGTAAAACGTGAAATGCTTTAAATGAATATAAATTTATTTAACATTTACAATCGCTATGCACGAAGCGAAGATCAACTTAAATATGTAAAGTATACCTCTCATCTGCTGTATGTGACTCATATGTAGATATATACAAAACCAGTTTGTTGCTTACAATTTGCTCTTTGTTTTTTTTTTTTTCATTTTTTTTTTTCTTTTTCACTGTTATCACTGAACTGATTAAGTCTGAAACCTAAATGTTCTTTAATTTCAATGCTGTTCATAGCTGTAATCTTTATTAAAACGCATCTCACATCATACATATCCGGCAAAACTAGGTCATTATGAAGATCAGAAAACCGTTAAAGTGAAAACATTTCTAAAATTTGCTAAACATTAGATAACAATCATAAATATTGAAGAGGAACATCTTAAAAAGTAACACATATCTCGTTGAAGGCTACAATTGTCGCATAAGTTTTGAGTGATTGTTATTGAAATTTCGAAGGAATAATCGTAGCAGAGTAGTTTAGCTCTTGTAGCTTTTCAATGTCGATAGAAACGTTTTGTTTTCGTAAGAATAGCTGAGATGTAACAGTAAGCAACCATTTTCTCAATTCTACGTATCATCTCGCTAAGTGTTTTCCTTATTAATATGTTCAGAAATTCTTTAAATATCTGTTCTTAATAAAAAATTCTTAGGGTTTCTGGTTACAGTACCTATTATATAAACCGATACGGCACAATATACAAGTTTGAGTTAGTAATACCAAATACTATATCCCGGAGCGAACTTCAAAGCCTATCCTATAACTTGTCATCTTTCCACCAGCATGAACGAAATGGATGTGACTCAAAAACACAAAGAGAAAAAATGCAGATGTTGGTTGGATGCTCATAAGCAGCAACAATTACATCCATTACATATTTCATTTTAATACAGAGATCAAGGGTATAAAAGATTCGGACACAGCTGAATACAATTTTCCTACATGCATTGTTTCTGTCCTCTCTATGAGAATTCTTTGCATTGCACAATAGTTTCATGGCACCCAGAAGTCAATGCAATTCTTCCTCTATATTATCTGGATAGGGTTTTTTAGCCGGTTTATCACTATTAGCCTGCATGCCAGGCAAGTGTCCGTTGAAGGAACTCGCTCGAGCCGACAAATCATGCTCCAGACGATCTTATATTAGTCATTAGGTTAATGTTTGAGATTAGCTTTTGACCGCGTAGAAAACAATAAAAATTATTCGTATAATGTGTGCATAAAAATGGTGTTAAAAGTGAAAGTAGTGGTAAAATTCACAAAATTAAGGATGAATTTCGTAGAATAATGAAAATCTGGTGCGGAAACATTGCAGGCACACCAACAGATTGAGGCGGCCACTATAAGATTGTCAACCCAGTTGATGTTTAACGTTCTGCATGAACGTGCATGAACGACTCCATGAAACACAAATGTCTTCAATCAAGGGGAACTGTGAACGATTTTAACCATGTTGGTAAGCGTGATGTATTATTTTGAAACGCTTACAAAAATTGGGGCAAAATGTTGAAATTCGGTATATAAATATACATATATTTTTCGGTGATTGTCACCGATCAAATTAAAAAATGTACAAAGTTCAACCCCAATATGTATTATGTATGACTTTGTTACCTGCTTTAAGCACAATTTAAAAGATTCGATAAAGCCCCCCTTCCCTCCTCGAAACCGGCGTCAGTAAATTTGCAATACGCAAGAAGCTAATTAGGATTGAGTTGAGTTTGAGTCAATCTTATATGTAAGAAGTTGTTAAGTTGTTGCACTAAACTATATAGATGTCTATTATTTGTTTATATATAGAGAGCTTTTAGCAATTTTAATATTTTAAAATGAATGTAAAAATATTAAAAATATTTTCCAGGCTTCTATGGATTTACCCCCCGATAAGGCCAAACTCCTAAAAAACTATGACGATGAGAAAAAATGGGACATCATTTGTGATCAGGTTTGTGGTGATTATTTATACAATGTTTATTATTATTTCTCTTATCGACTTGAAAGATTAATTTAATTTTCATTTTTTTTTTTTTTTTTTTTTTTTGAATATCAGGAAATGGTGCAAGCAAAAGATCCACCATCGCACTATCTGAATAAGTTGCGCACTTACTTGGATCCCAAGGCTTCTCGGAGTCACAGGGTAAGTTAAGTTACTTAGAAAAGAGTTTGTTTTATTGCGGTAGTTAGTGTTGGTTGAAAGAGATTTTAAAAATTTCATTTACTATGAAGGATATGTATGTGTATAGTAATCTTAATCAAACTTACCCGGCTTTTATATTTAGTTAATATTAATGGTATTCATGAAAGCTAAAGAGCTATTAAAATAAAATAAGTATTCGCTCACTTCCTTTAAAAAGATCGCCTTACGGCGAGGAGAGCTGTATAAACTTTCTTTTGTTCGTTAAACGGTATTTAGCCAAAGTGCGCAAAATGTTGTTTTTCGGTTTTTGTTTGATTGCGAAATGGAGCTACGATAGCGCGTATGACACGTGGGAAAATTTCTATCCTCCTCTCTGGCAATTATATTGGGTTTGGATGTGCGATCTTGCGTAATCTCGTCTCTTTAGCAAAAAAAAACATGTCTGGACATTTTACACCGTTAAATTCGTCCATGTTGTTTAATTGCTGCAATCTAATTAACTATTTGTTTTCTTGCCGGTAAATACTGACGCTCGGGACTTATGACAATCTACTAAATGTCGTTTGATCTTATGCCAGATAACTAAGCCGAAATTATATACGCCAATGATTTCGGCATGCATTATGAAATATATTTAAAAAAAAAAAAAAAAAAAAAAAAAAAAGTAAGGGACTAATATGCGGCTATGCGGTGGTCGATTCTTTTGTACTTACCTTCTTCTTATGCACAATTTTTCTATTTCTCTTAAATTGATATTTGTTAAGTTTGGACAATTTAGGAGTTTTCATGAATGCGTATCTGCATTGTTTCCATCCATTTTCTCACTCAAGATTTTGTAACTCTTTCACCAACTGTCATAGTTTATGGTTAACAAAATGCGTATTGAAATCTACTTCTACTCACCGTATTTATATATATATTTTTATTCTTTTATCTCTTTTTCTTTCGAAACTTGTTAATCTTGATTGCTTCTGAATTGGTTGAAATGACATTTGGAATTTGGAATGTTTGAACGGTTCCTAATGTAATTTGTTTTCCTTTGCTCCCTTTTTTTTCTCCATTTTTCCATTCAATATCCGTTTCCCCAAAAAAATTCCAATCCATTGCCTGTGATTTAATTACAGCTTTACTTGCTCTACTTTTTTTGTCAGAAAAGAAAAATTGTAGGCGAGTCAACGTCAACGCAAGTTTTGCGAGACCTTGAAATTTCATTACGCACTAATCACATTGAATGGGTTAAGGAGTTTCTTGATGAAACTAATCAAGGCCTTGATGCTTTGGTTGATTACTTAAGTTTTCGATTGCAAATGATGCGTCATGAACAACGAATTCAAGAAGCCCTTAGCGAGTCAGACGAGCGTCTTGATTTAAATAATACTAGTGTCGGGAATGTTATGGGGGATTGTGCAGAAAATACCGCCCATGGTGTTATTAACAATTCAAATCTGTTGGAATCATCGCGACACCAGAGCCTCCATTCATCATCTTTCAGTGGGCTAACAAATGGATTTTTGCGGCCATCTTTGGGTGATGTGCTTGATAGTCCCAGCATCAAACGACGTTCCCGTCATATTGCCAAATTAAATATGGGCGCATCAACGGACGACATACATGTCTGTATTATGTGCTTGCGTGCAATTATGAATAACAAATACGGATTCAATATGGTTATACAACATCGAGAAGCTATTAATTGCATAGCTCTTAGCCTAATACACAAATCACTGCGCACAAAAGCGCTAGTTTTGGAACTATTAGCGGCTATTTGTCTTGTGAAAGGTGGACATGAAATAATTTTATATTCTTTTGACAATTTCAAAAGTGTATGTCACGAAAAGCGACGTTTTCAAACTCTTATGGAGTACTTTATGAATTTTGAGGCTTTTAACATTGATTTCATGGTAGCCTGTATGCAATTTATGAACATTGTGGTGCATTCCGTTGAAGATATGAATTATCGCGTTCATCTGCAATATGAATTTACCGCTTTAGGATTGGATAAGTATTTAGAAAAGTTGCGACTGACCGAGTCCGAAGAGTTGAAAGTGCAAATATCAGCTTACTTGGATAATGTGTTTGACGTGGCGGCGTTGATGGAAGATTCTGAAACGAAAACAGCAGCATTAGAAAGAGTACAAGAATTGGAAGATCAAGTGGAACGTGAGATTGATAGAAATTCGGAACTACTTTATAAGCTAGCCGAAATGGAAACTGAGGTCGCCTATTTAAAGGCTGAAAGAGAGGAACTTTTGACCACAAAGTTAAAATTTGATGAGGAGGTGACTACGCTAAGACGAATCCTTAAGCAAAATGAACAAGAACTGAAGAGGAGAGACTCTCTTTTACAAAGTAAAAATCTTGAGTTACAGACTTTAACAAGATCGTTGCCAAGATCTGTGTCCAATGCGGAAGGTTCGCAATTAAGTGAGCTGAGTGCTAATCTCTTACCACCAAAGTGTGATTCACCGCCGCTACCTCCTCCGCCTCCGCCTTTGCCTTCTTCACATGCTATTGAAACTGTAACACCACCGCCTCCTCCGCCGCCCCCTGCACCGCCGGCTCCTCCCCCACCACCTTTGTCGGGCTGTCATTCTATAACAATGAATAGAGCTCCGCCGCCACCACCTCCAGTACCAAGCGATGGCCCTTCGATGCGTACATTCCCGCAACATCAAGTGAATCCGGTGCTTTCTGCATTCCAACCACCTCCGCCACCCGTTGCTGGTTTCATGCCTGCCCCAGACGGAGCAATGACAATTAAAAGAAAAGTTCCAACAAAATACAAATTGCCAACACTGAATTGGATTGCTCTTAAGCCCAACCAGGTAAAGTGTGATAAATTAATTTTCCGTTCGAACAATTAAATTGAAGCCATTTCATGCATTCAGGTACGCGGCACGATATTCAACGAATTAGATGACGAAAAGATTTATAAATACATAGACTTTAACGAATTTGAAGAACGCTTTAAAATAGGCATTGGTGGACCGTTGACTAATGGAACAAACTCAGAAGTTGACGGCAATCTACAATCGTATCCCAGTAAAAGATTTAAAAAGCCAGATAACGTATCGCTATTGGAACATACGAGATTACGAAACATTGGTAATATATTTTATATATAATATAAGAGATTTTTTTGTTTACATACCTATATATATATATATATATATATATATATACGTGTGAATACAAGTTTATATTGTGAATTGTTTTAGCAATATCTCGTCGCAAGCTGGACATGCCTATTGATGAAGTAATTGCTGCTATACATAGTCTAGACCTGAAGAAATTATCTCTTGAGAATGTGGAACTACTTCAAAAAATGGTTCCTACAGATGTGGAGGTTAAAGCCTATAAAGAATATATCATCGAACGAAAAGATCAAAATCTTCTATCGGAAGAAGATAAGTTCATGTTGCAACTATCTAAAGTCGAAAGGATATCGTCGAAGCTTTCAATTATGAATTACATGGGGAACTTTTTCGATTGTTTGCACCTTATTAGTCCGGTATGCAGTAAAAGTTTATTTCATTATTACTGTTATCAATAACAAATACGTATTATTGTAGCAAATACAATCGATTACGACTGCTTCAAATTCTTTAAAACAATCGCGAAAGTTTAAAGCTGTTTTAGAAATTGTACTTGCTTTCGGCAACTATTTAAATAGCAGTAAACGGGGACCAGCCTATGGTTTTAAACTTCAGTCCTTAGACACACTTATAGATACGAAATCGACGGATAAAAGGTTATCGTTGTTGCACTACATTGTCGCAACCATTCGTCAAAAGTTTCCGGAATTGCTTAGCTTTGAAACGGAACTTTTTTGCACCGATAAGGCATCGCAAGTTTCATTGGAGAATATTGTTACCGATGTGCATGATTTGGAGAAAGGCATGGATTTGGTTAAAAAAGAGGCAGAATTGCGAGTTAAGGGAGTGCAAACGCATATATTACGCGATTTTCTAAATAACTCCGAAGATAAATTAAAGAAAATCAAAATTGAACTTAAAAATGCACAAGAAGCGTTCAAAGAGTGCGTCGAATATTTTGGCGAATCTTCTCGTAACGCGGACGCAGCAGCATTTTTTGCCCTTATAGTTCGTTTCACGCGAGCTTTTAAGGTAATTTTAAATAAAAAAAATCCGATAAAAAGCGAAAATGTTTAAGTTAATGTTGTGCTTAATGTTACTGCTGTGTTTGCAGTCGCATGACCAGGAAAACGAACAAAGGCGCCGCTTGGAGCAGGCAGCTGCTGCAGCTGCTGCATCTAAGAAAGAAAACGAACAAGTGCAATTACGTAACAAAGTTAACCAAAAGAAACAACAGGTATTTATAATATTTTGTATATAAAATTAAAATAATAATAATAATAATAAAAAAAAAAAAAAAAAAAATAAACGAAATAAAACAACGCTTTCTCTTATAATAAAATTTCAATATAAAAGTGCCTGGAATAATTACTTGTAATAAATACTTATTTTACACGAAATGCATTATACATTTTAATAGAAACATGGTTGCGTGACTATGGAAAGCAGTTTGCTACATAAAGCGCTTTTTAATTCGGCTTGATGGATTGCATCTTAGTCTCTAGAATGCAAAAGCATAAATATTTTCTGAATTTGAAGCGATTTGTGGTGTTGGTACGAAGTTATAGCAATTGGTTTTGATGATTTGAATATCGAACTGCACTAGTCTACTGCCAGTTAACCCATCGTTCGTTCACTCAGATGCAATACATATAACCTACCTCCTTCACGTTCACTTATTCTCTATAACACATTAAATTATAGATGATTTGTTCACATCCAACAGAACACGAACATTTGAATATCGTTCACACCTTCCCCACCCTAGACTTCATGTATTTTTTATAAAAGCTTAAAAAAGGAATCAAAGAGTGATATTATGATTCACAAAATTAAAAAAAAAAAAAAAAATGTAAGTGAAATATCATAATATAGGCAAATATGTAGCATGTTACTAATGAATGTTATTAAACTCACCCACATAGGATGTTGTTTTTATATGAATTTTGACTGTTTGTATTGAATTTCCTTTAGCTTAATATTTTAAAATACTTACAATTATTTCAAAAAAGAGCGCTTAAACTTTCTTTGGAAACACTCAAACCGGATTTTAACATTTAACGCTTTGCAATATAATAAGAAGAAGAATAAAATCATTGCAATTTTTTATTTCAAATATTTCGCGTTTCAGGATTAATTTAAAATACTTTTTTTTTCCTAAATATATCTGCTTGCGTATCCACCCTGTACCTCACATATTGACATGAATATTGATATTCATCTTAAAGGAGCTGAGATTTATTGCTTGCGAAATTTATAGACTATTTATTATTGGACTTGAAATAGAATTTCATTTGTTTGAATCATATACTGAAATACGCCTTTTTCGAATTGTGATTGAATGTAATGCAAGAGCAAAAGTTTTCTTAAATATTCTCAATATTCTTCTTATTAGTATTAGTCTAGAAGATATTGAACTTTGCCGCTGATACTAAAATTCTTACATTTCTTCATATTTTTCATATTCACTGATTGTTGAATCGCTTGAATTAACCCTGTTTTCGTTCTTAGGCTCTATTTTTCCTCGACTACGTAATATGTGAAAGTTAATCTATACCGCTTTTAATAGTTTTTAAATATCTTTAATGTTCATAAATCTTACACGATTATGTTTAAATTGAAAACGGTTAAGGTTAAATCAAGCAGGTTCGGTATATCAGGTAAACAACTAGTGTAAAGCGGTTGAGCCCGAGTATAGCATACAATTGTACACAATTGTCTACTAATTGCAACTGATAATTAGGTGAATTTTGATATTTTTACACGCGTTAAGAAATATTCTATGTCTACCCTAAATAAATCTCCTCCAAATAATACATTTTTTGAATTAGTTAAATTCTTAAGTATATTTAGTTTTAGTCCTATACGGGCACTTCATTCAATTTAAATGAAAGGTTTATTAAAGGCAATTGAATTGTCATATTTCTGTCAAAAAATGGGTCCTTTCTACAAATCGCGTACACAGAAAATCATGTTTTAATTTAGGTTAATTATTAAATTTCATCTAAAAACTAAATTAATTAGCAAGAAATAAAACAGTTTACCTCAAGGGCAAACCGCCCTTGTGAGCTGAAGGCAAGCATAATTTTAGGAGAGTTTATGTCCAAGCAAAAGGTTTTATGACTAAAATTTATTTTGATGTTTTCATGCAAAGCCTTATGCTCTCTTTCATAACAATTGTTAGCCTTTATCTATGTAGCGTCTAAAACTTTTCTACACGGTTACCTGGTTTGCCTTTTCTTTTTTTTCTTTTTCTTTTAAACCTTTAGAGGAGCCTATGTGGTGGGTATCGAAAATTCGGCTTAAGCTGAATTATTATTGCACAAGCTTGTTTTATCCATATTGCAGCAAAAATTTACTAACACTTATTTTAAAATCCATTTCCATTTCCACTTACCACTTCCCACTTCCCACTTCCATTTCCTTTAACTTTGTCTTGTCGTAGTTACAGTATAATAAAAAAAATAGTAAACGCAATGTAATATAGATATATAATATATTGTGTATGTGTTATTAACCATGTTTTGTAATCAAAACATATTTCCAAAGTCATGCAACTTTTAATTGCGTATTTAGTTAATATGCACGGTTTCTTCCTTTGCCTTATTTACTGTTTTATTTATTTATTTATTTATATATTTCTTTATTAATACTTATTTAATTAGCTAATAATAATTCGGGATTTTTTGGGTTTTTCATATTTCCATAATGAATACTATAACAAGAAATGCACACCGGTCTATCCTTACAGGATGCCGTCATAAACGAGTTAAAATGCAAAACAAATTCAGTGCGGGAGAAGAAATTATTACAGCAGGATGAGGTTTATAATGGAGCACTAGAAGATATCTTATTAGGATTGAAGAGCGAGCCTTATCGCCGCGCAGACGCCGTCAGACGAAGCCAACGCAGACGCATTGATAATAATCGCCTCTCACGCACATTAGAAGAACTTGACGTTTGAATCAACTTATTAAGGAAATAATTATCCTACTTGTTTATGGGATTGTGTAAACTTAAATTGAAAAGAAAAAAACGCCACCAAATAATGCATTTATACTGTCAATAATTGCTAAATATAATAATTTCTACATTCCCTATATAAGCAATAGCGAAAACAAAAAAAATTAAAAAAAAATTAAAAAAAAAAAACAAACCACACGCACACACACCTACACCCATGTCCTATATAAAATAATTTATATATATATATATATATATTATATATATATGGGTATATATATGTGTATAAATATACATGTACAGACTAACGTGCAGACCAAAAAGCGTAAATATATTAATTTCATATATTCAGTATTAGATAATAGAGAGAGAGAGAGAGAGAGTGAGTGAATACAACATAAATACAAGATAACATATTTTCTACGGTTTACTTTTTAACCAATTATTGCAGTCTTTTAATAGTTGTTTCGTTTCTGAGGGCGTCTGTTTTTCAAATGTATTTTTTATCTGTGTTTTTTTCTTTTCAATTATAACTGTGTAATATAAAATATATAAATTCTTCGTTTTGAGAATATTTTAGCAAAGTCTTTTTGTATTTTTTTTTTTTTGCCGCTAATTGTCTATGATTGTATAGGAAACTATATTTTATTGATACTATTATTATTATTATTATTATTATTATTATTATTTATCGTATTTCAATTTGAATTAAAACTGGATTTCACCTATGTGATACAACATATCCGATATCATTATGTAAACTTATACAAATGCAATATATTTTTAGATATTAATTGACTGTGTCTCCTGAGTTAAGCTACATCCGCAACTCCCTTGCACTTTAATTCGTTGCGCTATTATGTTCAACACAGATATATTTTTTATTATTATTTCAAACAGTACTAACTATTTTTAAGAAAATATATAACATATATGTAAGCGATTAATATAATATGTACGATATCAGAAACTTTTTAATATTTAGTAACAAGAATTTTTTATAATCATTTACACTAAATTCGTGCCATGCAATTTTATATCTTTGTCTATATTACGATAAACTTTTTAAAACATATATTCAAGGAAACTTATATGTATTAAAAATTAGACAGTAAAAAGCGCAGCTTTTTTGAATTAAATTTTTTATATATTGCCCAATTATTTATAATAAAAAAGCTATTAATTATTTTTTTTTTTCTTCTTTGGATCCATGCAAACTTAGAAATTGCAAATTCGATTTCGAGTGTGCTCGATAATGAGAACCGTAAATCGGCTAATCGGTTCTTGGCAAAATAATAGATATGTCTACCGAACGTATGCAAATATATTCGGATATATTCGCATTGCTTCCTTTAAGCTAAGCTAAGCTAAGCTACCTACGAGGGAACTTTCAGTATGATTTTTATTTGTTGTTACTTTATTGTTGATGGGATTTGATGAGCTTTACATTTCCTTCCGAGTTGATGGCACGCTTGATAACGTGAAATCATTGATTTTGTCATTGATAATAGTTAGTTTTCTTACGTAATTTGATATAAAAATCAACTCTTTCAAAATTGAACCACGTCGATCTGTATTTTGAACCCTATTCTTTATAAATTCCTTTCCCCCCGCAAAATTTAGCCTTTATATGGCTTATATACCTAATTATCAATATTTATCAAATGTTGAAAATTGTTTTATAAGTATAGTTCGATATAAAAAATAATTGTATGTCAAATTTGGATCAAGTATGTCTATTTTTTGGATACCAAAAATAAAAATACTCATACTAATATAGGCGAAGTGGTCTTGCCCGATAGTTTTTCCTTATTTCCCTCCTCATCAATTAATAGCTTTGACGTACAGTTCAATTTATCGGTCGTAATGTTTTGCTTTGCATAAATAGTTGGCAAAAAATGAAGTCATACTGATGAAATTTTTCTAGAAATAATTCAAATGATATTGAAAAGTACAAGAAATGATAGCATCAACAATCATTTAATAAACATGAAACGGGGTACATTTGCTAAGTCAACCATTTAATTGTTAGCTATGGGCGTGTTAGTAAACGTATCGAGACAATTGGGTGCACATAGAAAATGTGGCGGACACCCCCATCTCGTTTAGATCTGGACATGAGAATACAAGGTGGTGTCCGTTGGATAAAATATATATTCGATGTACAGTACACAGTCAAGAGCCGATGTTTTTTAAAGCTATGCGTAAGCCTTTAATTCATGCTTGGACACCATCAACCGTATAAAGCGAAAAGACTAGATGTTCATGAGCGGCGCGTTTGGATATCAGCGCCATGCGGGCCGTGTAGTGCTTATGTATAGATGAATTCGGGCCAAGTTCTCTATAGAGATAAAGGAGATTTGCCCTGAACTAAATTTTCTTTCGGCTTTGCCATTCTCTCGTCCTGAAATTGTATTTATACCGCATGATGCACTACCGCGACTCGTGTTTCTTTAACCGCACTGCCTGTCTACAAGAAATGCTCTTTCCTACAGCGCCTGTTTCTTCTACTTTTAAGCCGAACCTAGAAACGGTACCCGTCGCTTTTTCTGTCCCTCTCTACCTGTAGCCCTTCCTGACCATTATTATGCCTATACGTTTAAGGAGCGTCAAATTGAGCATATTTTGTAAAAATAAGTGCATATCGTCGACGTTCCGAAAACAGATAGAGATAAAACTGATTATAAGTATTTAAAGATCTTTTCATAAAAATGAAGGCGACACCGAAATTTTAGGACTTTACATCTTTTATAGAGAATCTTTTGAAGTTCGAATTTTGAAAAGGATCACCTTATCTTACTCGGCAATTGTAGCCCTAATCTTAAGTTTGTGGAGCCATCATTTGACAACACCAATTTAATAAATTTTAGCCTCCAATCGGAATATTACTTTGGCATTAGTCATTCATTCTTTGCATAGTTGACATTATCCAATCAATTTATTAGCAAAGTGTCAACCTTCTGAAAATCCTACAAGAAGAAGCAATTTCTTTAACTTACGTCAAATCATATGCATAATGACGTCTAGAGTGATAATTGCGTCTAAAAATTTTAACAGGGGCTTGTCGGCTTTAATGGTATCCACTTTCAACAGGGCCGAAGGATTATGGCTTATGTAATTTATTGAGAAACTCATTGAATCGTCCTTTATAAATAAATATCATTTTGCCTGCATAGACGTCCATTGTGGTCTTGCCCTTAACTGTGGAATTGCTGTCCGGCCGAAACATTAAATATAGGACAACTTCGTTTTTTACTGTACACCCAAAAATGCTCTGAAAAGCATGAATGAACTCTTATGTGACTAATGGAACGAAAAGTTTCAATTTGCAGCCAACGCCAAAAGCCAACTAGTCCTTGACTTTCCGGCAAGATTTTGCATTCCTCTGGAAATGAAAATTATCACTTGTCTTCTTATACATTGGCGTTTGTCCTATCGCTCTCTGAGAAACTTGCCACACACGTGACTTTGAAGAAAAATATTTTTTCGAAATTTTCAAATAAAATTTCCAAAAGGAAGGAGCTCACCTATCTATTTCTTACACAATCTATATTTAACAAGTTTAAGCAGTCATCCTCGTTCATTAAAGAGACGGAAATCAGTTTAATTCTATTTACTTCAGAATGCTTCAAGGACTCCATAAAGCACATGTACTCTTGATCATTAATAAAATGTAAACCAATCGAAATATGTCCACCTTTGTAGATATATATGATAAATACTAAGATATCGTCTTCAAATTTGGCAAAAACGTTGAAAGCCCTTTTTGGTAGGTTGACATGGAAAATGGGTTAAATCGCGAAAAGGACATGCCTACAGTACATCATACTCTGAGATCGTGTCTTTTTTCAAAAACAAAAAAAAAACAAAAAAATGGATCTTTGACTCGTTCCGTATATAGTGCAACAGATGCAGCAATGAATTTTTCATTTACACATTTTTTGATTCTAAATCATCTGTTTATTGACCCGATGTGCATTCTTTTAGAGTATCATATACGTAATGTGAAGATTTACTCTCAACTGTAAATTGTCAACAACAAATGTCGTCCTAAGCAGATATGAAAACTGTACTTTTCCCGCCGTTAAATGTTTGTGTGACAAAGGTAATTTGCAATAAATTTGCAAAAAAAAAAAAAATGTAATAAATCACCTTGAAAAGAACATAGAATATAAGATAAAACAAGTTTATATCACTAATCGCGAACTATTCGGATTAAATGAATGGTCAGAGTTCAACTGAACGGGCGTTATAAACAACAACCGATTCGGTCATTTGGTATGCGCCTGTGCAAATCTTTTGCGGCAAGAACGAAGAAAGAGAGTGCGATTAATTTGGTTCGGTTAAGTTCGTACTTTTAACAATAAACATTTTCATGCCCATACGGATGAGGGGTATGTTCGGTTTGTCAAAATGTTTGCAACGTCCAGAAGGAAGCACCAGAGACTCCACCAAGTATATATATGTTCTTGATCGCTGTTAACTTCTAAATTGATTTATGCATATATCCGTCTGGACGTCTATGTAACGTCTGACGTAAACATTCTTCGAGCCTCGATCTTATCGACCGTAAATTTGGCAGAAATATTGAAAGTTCATATACGCAAATTGGTATTGAAAATGGGTGAAATCGGTCGAAATACACGTTCATAGCACCACGTGAGCTAAGAATGCGCCTGCGTTTTTTTTTTTTGCTTATAAGTTTGTGATAGAAGATAAATGTACAAAAATTTGAACGTATATTT